CCTTGAGCAATCCCCCCCACTTGGCCTTCCAGAGTGCTAGGATTACAGGCGTGAGCCACCGCACCCGGCCTTGATACACTTTTTTAATTCAGTTCAAAATATTTTCTAATTTCCCTTTTGATTTCTTCTTTGACCCATGGGTTATTTATAAATATGTTATTTAGTTTACAAATATTTGGCAGTTTTGGAGATATCTTTTGGTTATTGATTTCTAATATTCCACTGTGGTCAGAAAACATACTTTGCATGATTTGGATCCTTTTAAACTTATTAAGCCTCATTTCATGGTCTAGAATATGGTCTATCTTGGTATATATGTCTATATAAAAATACTTATGCTGAAGGAAAGATGCTGGTCATTTATATAAATTCTAGAGAATGCAAACTAATCTACAGTGACAGAAATTTGATCAGGGGTTGCCAGTGGGAGATGAGGCAGATGGGATTAGGAGGGAGGATATCACAGGGGGCATGAGGAAACTTTTGGGTGGTGAATTTGTTCACTGTTTTCAATGTTGTGATGGTTTCACAGGTGTATACATATGTTGAAATGTATCAGATTGTACTTTTATTTATTTATTTAATTTTTTGAGACAGAGTCTCACTTTGTTGCCCAGGCTAGAGTGAGTGTTGTGGCGTCAGCCTCGCTCACAGCAACCTCAAACTCCTGGGCTCAAGCAATCCTGCTGCCTCAGCCTCCAAGTAGCTGGGACTACAGGCATGAGCCACCATGCCCGGCTAATTTTTTCTGTATATATTAGTTGTCCAATTACTTTCTTTCTATTTATAGTAGAGACGGGGGTCTCACTCTTGCTCAGGCTGGTTTCTAACTCCTGACCTCGAGCAGTCCACCTGCCTAGGCCTCCCAGAGTGCTAGGATTACAGGCGTGAGCCACCGCGCCCGGCCTATTTTTTAGAGATGGGGTCTCTGTTGTCCAGTGGTGTCATCACAGCTCACTACAACCTTAAACTTCTGGGCTCAAGGGATCCTCCCACCTCAGCATCCCAAGTAGGAGGGACTACAGGCACACATAACCACGCCTGGCTAATTTTTATTTTTGTAGAGGCTGGGTGGGGGTGGGATCTCACTGTGTTGCCCAGGCTGGCTCGAACTCCTGGCCTCAAGCAATTCTCCCACCTCAGCCTTCCACAATGCTGGGATTACAGGTGTGAGCCACCATGCCCAGCCCAGATTGTATTTTAAACACATGTAGTTTATTGAATGTTAATTGTAGCTCATAACGCTGTTTTTTAAAAAATTGATGTTTAGCAAAAACCTTGGATAAAATTGAGAAAATGTTCAAGATCAAGTTATATAGGAGAATTCAGTGGTTCATACTTAGGGAACAAAAATTAGTCATTTTAAAGAAAGAGACAATTTCCAAGAAAGCTGACATCAAAGCACAGATCCGGATTGTGAGTTCTGGCCCTGCCACGTGCTGTGTGTCTTTGAGCAAGCTACTGAGCCTCTCTTCCCTTCGGCCTCCTCTCCTCCACCGTAGGGGTGGTCATAGAAGGGATGTGGGACGATGCCGCAAGTGTCTCTGGGGATGGACTCGCTGCTGTTCTCTTGGTGGAGGACGGGAGCCAAGGGTGACCTGTACTGGCAGACAGACTGCTGGGCAGCTGCCAGGCCACTGTGGTCCCGTCCTCCACCTGTGCTGGGCCTCGTGCCCGAGATGGCAGGGCGGGGCTGAGAGGAGGGCCCTGGGGGCGGGAAGAACTCTGCATTCAAGGGCAGGTGGAGTGATGTGGCCAGTCCTCTGTTCCCGCCGTATGTTTTAGAGTTGATTTCCAGAGAGCAAACCAGTTCTCCCATTATCCATAAAACTGGGGATGCTGTGGTGCCAACACTGTTCCTCACTCGAAGTTTCTTCCGATCTTTCGAGGCCCTGCCTGGGATCGGACACTTCGACTTACCACATGCTGCCACCAGAAGGGAGCCCGGCAAACACTCCTTCCCCCTCTGCCACTGTTGTCAGCACCGAGAGTGGCTGAGAACAACGTTTGGCCATTTTCATAGGCAGAAATGGTGTCTTACTGTCCATTCATTCATTTCCTCACCATTTGGTTCCCATGTGTTCACCAAGAACCCATGTCCAGGCCCTGGGCCAAAGTGGGAGCAAAACCGGGTCCTCACCGTCGTGGCGGAGACGACACGAAGCCAACGCCACCCAAATGCGTGGACTTCTAAACTGAGTGCTGGGAGAGCGTGCAGGGTGCATGGAGGCTTTCCTGAGGGCCGAGGTAGGTCAGGTGTTGGCTACTGGGGGACGCTGGGAAAGGCAGCCAGTAGAGGGAAGAGTAGGGGCCTGTGGTGAGACCTAGAAGGAATACTAGGAGTGAGCTCGGAACAGTGAGGAGACAAGAGGTAAAAAAGAAGATGGAGGCTGGAGAACTCGTATGCAGTGGGGGAGGGTGGGAGACACACAGGGCATGGGCAGTGCGGCTGATGTGAGAAGTAGGCAGGGGCCAAATCGTGCAGTATGGCCCAGGACTCAGAATGTGGCCTGGAGATAGGAGGAGGCATCGTGGGATCTCCCCAGGGGCCCCAGTCTGCTGTGGGGTGGGTGGGTCTGAGGAGGGCCTGCACCCAGAGAGCTGGGGGGCAGAGGAGGGGCAGACCTGGAGAGACCAAGGGGAGCAAGTTAACAGGATGAAGCCAAGGAGCCCCAAATGTTCCTGGGTGGGTGGGGTTATGGTTGCCATGGGGAACACAGGGCCCAGGCAGGTGGCAGCAGGTGACCAGTTCAGTGTTACCCATGTTGGGCCAAGATGTTTATGGCGCATCTGTGTGGATGGGAGATGCTGGGAATGTGTGCAGGAATGTGGTCGAAGGGATGGATTGGGAAGAAAGGGAATGGGATAGTTTTGGAGGGCCATAAAGATGGTTCCCAGATGGCAGCCTCAGTAGAGCCGAAGAGCCTGGGTACTGGGAGAGAGAGAGACCCGGGGGACAGGATGCTATGCTTGCCAATGGGTTCCAGTGCTGGGGTGGCCGGGTCCACTGTGGCCTTGGGTTAGAGGGGGCTGGACTCTCCTTCCCTGCACCCTGCACTCCCTAGCCTGTCTTTTCCAGAAGACTGAATTTGCATCTCCTGGTGCCTGCTATAAATCAGGAAGTAGATGAGCAGTCATGAGCCCCATAGGCAAGCACAGAGTTGGACAGACCTGAGGCAGCACCTTCAGGAGCTTGTATACTAGTCACGGAGGGACAAACAAGAAGCATGCAAACAAGTGGGGGATGGGTTCTGGCAAGTTCTTATGTCCTATCAGAACCAGCAGTCCTGGACATGAACTTAAACTTCTTCCCTGAAGTACTGTCATTTCCCCTTGAACTCACCTTCAAACCTTCTGAGTCATCTTTGACTCATCCTTTGCCTTCAGCCCGCACATTCTGACAGCTGCCACAACTGGTGAATTTTTCCTTTAAAATGTTCTTTCTCTCCATGCTTAGGGTCCTGCCCTGATCTGGGCCCTCAGGGCCCTGCTGTGGCCACTTTCAGCTGGCTTTTGCTGGATTTATTTCTTCTACATTCTGGTCTTCATCATCTCACTTCCCAGTGCAGAAAACCTCCACACCCCCCACCCGCTATGCCCAGGACACTGAGCCTGTGGTCTCTCTCTAGGTGTTCCAGCCCCAGGGCCCCGCTGATCCCACCGGTGCCCACTCCCTGCTGTGGTGTTGACCCATACCCTCCCTGTCTGGGATCCTCCTTCCTGTGCCCATCTCCATGCCTGACCTTGGCACTGTCAGACATGTCATCAAGGCCCCTCGGCACTGCCCACAACTCGGCTGAGTTCCCCAAGGCAACCCAACGGGGCTCACTTTCGGCCCTGACCAGGTGACCTGGCAATTTAAGAATATAGCAGAGAAATAGATACAGAGAGGAAGAACAGAACAGGAAAGGGTGGTGGGCGTGGGTGGGGCGCACCAAGAATATCCAGCTGCATTGTTTTCTGCTTTTGTTCCAGCCTCCCTCCTCCTCTTGAGTTCATGGTGGCGCTGCTGCTGCTGCATCCTCTCACCTCTTTTCCCAGCCTCCGCAGGCAGTGGGAGGGATCCCACCAAATGCATGTCAGGGCCTGTCACCGCCAGACTCAGCATCTTCATGGCACCCCCTTCACCCAGCACTGCAGCCGCTCGAAGGCGTCACTGTCTGGCCCTGGTCTTCCTTCCCAGGCCCTTCTCGCACCTCTCTGGTTGCTCCCCAAACGCACCTGGAGCAGTTCCACTTCTTGGAATGCCTTTCTTTTCTCCAAACACTTGTCTACCGAGCTCAGCTTGGACATCACCTCCTCTGGTCATATTCACCCCACATGCCTCCTACACAGCCTTTAGCCCATGTGGCTGAAGTGAAATTAGACTTTGTCTTTCTCATCTCTCTTTTTTTTTTTTTTTTTTTGAGACAGAGTTTCGCTCTGTTGCCCAGGCTAGAGTGTAACGACATTATCACAGCTCACTGCAACCACCAACTCCTGGGCTCAAGCAATCCTCTTGGCTCAGCCTCCCCAGTAGCTGGGACTACAGGTATGTGCCACCATGCCCAGCTAAGTTTTCTATTTTTTGTAGAGACAGGGGTCTCACTCTTGCTCAGAACTGGTCCTGGGGCCGGGCGAGGTGGCTCACGCCTGCCTGTAATCCTAGCACTCTGGGAGGCCGATGTGGGCGGATTGCTTGAGGTCAAGAGTTCAAAACCAGCCTGAGCAAGAGGGAGACCCCATCTTTACTATAAATAGAAATAAATTAATTAGCCAACTAATATATATATAGAAAAAATTAGCCAGCATGGTGGTGCATGCCTGTAGTCCCAGCTACTCGGGAGGCTGAGGCAGCAGGATTGCTTGAGCCCAGGAGTTTGAGGTTGCTGTGAGCTAGGCTGATGCCACAGCACTCACTCTAGCCTGGGCAACAAAGCGAGACTCTGTCTCAAAAAAAAAAAAAAAAAGAACTGGTCCTGGACTCCTGACCTCAAGCAAATCCTCCTGCCTCTGCCTCCCAGAGTGCTAGCATTACAGATGTGAGCCACCGCACCCCGGCCTCTCATCTCTTTATTCTACAAACCCATCTCAAAACTTGGCACCCGGTAGGCCACCTATGTGTACAGAATGAACAACTGAGTATGTACTTGAATTGTACCAAATTGGAGCAAGTCAGCCCAAATGTAGTAATTAACCTTTGGCGCCATCTACTGGCCATCTGTCTGGGGCTTCCAGTTGGAAATGGCTTCCAAGGCACTGGGACAATTAGGAAAGTGAGAATTATGTGAGCCCCAATCTAGATCACCATCATTAATGTCTCATTCTGAAAAGTTTATGGTAAAGCTTTTAGCCTTTCGCGGAGTAGGAATGAAGCTGTCTGTATTCATAAGAGAAGACAAGGAAGCAGTTCTGTGAAAGAAGAAAGACTGAAGGGTAGAAAATCCAAAATTGGAAGAAAGCTGAATCTTAAGCTAGAGAAAGACAGGGATTGTGTCCAACCCTCCTTGCTCCTCCCTGCAATCTCACGAGGATCTCTTTTGCAACTTCAGAGAGGTGGGCAAAAAGCTAGGGTGGGGTGCAAGCCGGCTCTGCCCACCACTGCTGCTCCCTTTTTGTCTTGGCCAAAACAGGGGCAGAGGCCTTTGAGACCCACCCAAACACAACCTCTTGTTCAGCCAGCGAAAGAACAGGCCCAGCTGGTCTAACAGGTGCCAGGGGGTGGGGGCACTGTTTATCCTCAGATACCGCACCCCCCCAGGTTGGGTGAGAAACTGAAACCGGAGGAGAAATGAGCAGGCGTGATGTGTCTGGCTGGCCTAGGAGCTAATAGTTCTTTTCTGTCTGCACTTAGCTGGGGGTCACCTGGCTGTCAAGAATCTGCCTAGGTGGCTAATTGACCAGGTTGTGGGCACCTTGATCTGGCCACCCTGTCATTAATGGAGTTGTCATTTTTTGTGCTGACTTCCTTATAGATTCTTGGGCTGGGCCTGCGAGGCCCTTCATAACCTGGTTCTACCAGCTTCTGCCCTCATTTCCAAACCCTGCATCCTTCCACCCCCACACCTCTGCACCCATCCTATTCCTCTTGCCTAGAAAAGGCCCCTCCTTCCAGATGCCTTCCCTCCCTGCCACCTCCAGTGAGAAGGTATGCTTTTGTCTTGGTTCCTCCTCTACTGACTTTGGAGCAAGCTGCTTCTCTTTAAGCTTCAGCTTCCTCATCTGTAAAATGGGGGTAGTGACAGGACAGCTGGACCAAGTTCCATCTGTCTTAGTGTAGTTCTAAATTCTTGCACTTGAGCTGGGCACAGTGGTTGATGCCTACGGTCCCAGTTACTTGGTAAGCTGAGGTGGGAGGATCGCTTGAGGCCACAAGTTGTTACCAGCCTGGACAACGTAGGGAGACATCTCTAAAAATAAAAAAAAAATAATTAATTAAAACAATTCGTTTACTTGAGGACAGCTCAACTAGGGTAGATGTACATTACTAGTAGAACTGAGCAAGAATGAGTTCAGAACTTCCACACATTGCAAACACCCTGTACCGTCTCTGAAGTTAGAGCAGACAAGCCTTATGTAAATGTTTTAACTGATGTGTCCCAATTAAAATGTTGTGGTAGGCCGGGTGCCATGGCTCACGCCTGTAATCCTAGCACTCTGGGAGGCCGAGGCAGGCGGAGTTATGCTCAAGGTCGAGTGAGTTCTGATTTATACAGCTGAAGTAAGACTAAGACTCTCAGACCTCCGGCTTTGAATCCGGGTTTCTCCCACGTTACGCTATGCTCTTGTGACTTGAGCCATTTCTGTGACTCATATTTTTTTTCTTTTTTTTTATCATTTTCTAGTACCGTTGAAACCGTTGGTGAGAATCGCACACTTCACTGGGTCGTCCCGGGTGAACGACTGAACGAGAGATCAGACGGAAAGTCAGGAGGAGAAGGCCCTAGGGGAGGCGAGCGGGGGCCCAGAGCCCTTATGGCACCACAGACGCTCGGCTCGCCCAGCCAGTGGAGCTCCTGAGGCCCGCCGCAGCTGCTAAGTCTTGTGTTCACGGCACATTTTTTGCAAGAATGAATAATAAGAATGGCTTTTCGGACAGTTTCCGAACCAATTTTGTAAGTCATTGTCTATCTTTGACATTAGACATTCTCAATTCAATCTTATGGTCTATCTACTCTTACACATTCTGCAAATTCCCAAATTGTCTTGTTTTATTTTTTGAGCTCATGGAACTATAAAAGGCATGCATAGTGTCGCTTCCCTGAAGTGTTTCACCACTCTAGAATGTAGTGCTTTTCATAAAGGCCACCAATGCCACGCCTTCCATGCAGATATTATTTTCCTAATTCAGCTCCCTTAAACCACCCAGTTCTCGACTGACTGCAGTGACCCCTTGGGCCACAGTCCTCTTTGCCCTTGCCCACGCTGACTTCCTGTGAGCATCACATCTCGCTGCTTGTCTTAAATAATTCCCTTTTTTAGGGCTTCTTAATCAATGAAATAATTTTCAGTTAGTTCCCATACTTAATAATTGGCCTTAAAATCCTGTTCCATCCTATTCATATCCATGCATGTCTGCCCTGATTTGAGTATGGTGGTATGATTTCTACATCCCAAAGTTATTATATTCTCACACTTTGCTTCATAGATTTAATATAAGAATTGATATTATTATTTGTTTCCAAATCAACTACTAAACAGTTTTTATATCCAGATCAGCCCACTTCTAACATTGAACTTGTAGATCCTTCATAATGTTTACATGGATTTGTTTTTTTTTAACCTTTTTCATTCCGATGCGTGAGTAGCAGTAGGTGACAACTCCTAAATGCACCCTCCCTTTGTGAAAAGTAACTAGGATAAAGTTGTTTGACGGATTTCTACACTCTTAGTCTTGCCATGGGGGTTCGTGTCTTTTTTAATTCTTCCTTTTGTCCATTTTCTTTCCTTTTCTTTTTTCCTTTTTCTTCTCCTGTTTTTTTTATTTTTTTATACATCAACCTATCCCATTATTAGGCCTCCTTTTCATCCTACCACAAGGAAAATGAGTGTTCCTCACGGCTCTCCTCCTAGGTCCTGTACGTTTTGATGAACCCACCCACTTGGCTGTGTCAGAAGCTTTTTCATTTGGATCAGATCTTTATTTTATTCATTTTTTGTTGTTGTTGATGATTGCCTTTGGGTATTCTTCGTAAATTTGTTTCTGATAAGCAGGTATCCATAAGAAGTTTTCAACGTTTTTCTAGAATTTTTATAAGTTTCATGACTAAGCTTAAGTCTGTATCCACCATGAGTCGATTTTTGTGAGAGGTGGAAGGTGTGGATCCTATGGTTCAGTCTGTTTACATGTTGCTATCCGGTTTTCAAGTACCATTTATTGAATAAGAATTATTTCTCCCAGTAAAAAAAAAAAAAAAAAAACAAAAAAAGTCCAGTAAATGTGGGGGAATAAAAAAAAAAAAAAAAAAAAAAAAAAAAGAGCAAGACCCTGTCTTTACTAAAAATAGAAAGAAGTTAATTGGACAACTAATATACATAGAAAAAATTAGCCAGGCATGGTGGCGCATGCCTGTAGTCCAGCTACGTGGGGGCTAAGCAGTAGATACACTTGAGCCCAGGAGTTTGAGGTTGATGTGAGCTAGGCTGACGCCATGGCACTCTAGCTGGGGCAACAGAGCAAGACTCTGTCTCAAAAAAGAAAAAGTGCTCAGTTGATAGTTCAAGTGGCTAATGGATATATAAAGAACCAATGTTTAAAATTTCTAAGCTACTTCACAATGTAGTTTTGTTTTTTTTTTGTTTGCTTTTTGAGACAGTCTCACTCAGTACATTATTGTAGTCACTGCAACCTCAAACTCCTGGGCTCAGGCAATCCTCTTGCCTCGGTCTCCCACAGAGTAGCTGGGACTACAGGTGTGTGTACCACCACACCCAGCTCATTTTTTCTATATTTAGTGTAGATGGGGTCTTGCTCTTGCTCAGGGTGGTCTCAAACTCCTGATCTCAAGTGATCCTCTTGCCCAGAGTACTAGTATTACAGGTGTGAGCCAATGAGCCAGCCCACAATGCAGTATTCTGAGCAGCACTCATAGCAGACAGCATGCTGCCTGTACATTCAAACCCTTTCAACAACTTTGTATTTCATTTAAAAATGCAGGGATAGGTAAAATCTACCAACACTACATTTCAGTCAACATTCATCTTTTTTTTTTTTTTTTTTTTGAGACAGAATCTCACTCTATTGCCTGGGCTAGCTTGCAGCAACCTCAAACTCCTGGGTTTAAGCAATCCTCCTGCCTCAGCCTCCGAATAGCGGACTACAGACACGCCCCACCATGGCCGCTAATTTTTTTCTATATATTTTTAGTTGGCTAATTAATATCTTTCTATTTTAGTAGAGACAGGGTCTTGCTCTTGCTCAGGCTGGTTTTGAACTCCTGACCTGAGCAATCACCTGCCTCGGCTCCCAGAGTGCTAGGATTAAACATTCAATCTTATTAACCAAATTAATACAGACCGC